GTACACTCTCCTGTCACCGAACAATAAAACTGTTTATGTAAAGCAAACTGTCGAACAACCAACAAACAAAGGCAATACATACTCACACATATCTCTCAAGCAGACAAACTTTTATTCATACCAGCTACGGTATAGCTAACAGTGAGAACCAAAGGGTCATATCTTTGATTTACTGTCAACCCGTTTGGGCCTTTTACTAAGAACTAACATACATACAAATACTTAACAAAAAACATAAAAATGTCAAGCTCAAAACAAAATAAGCTTGAAGCCGTATTTCGTTTCTGTTGAAGCAAAAGTTTGAAATTCCGAGTGACTAATTCATTTCCACATGATTTGCTGTTGACTGTGTAGCCACCTCACAGTTGGGGGTAGGTTTATGGGTGTTTAAGTACCAACGTCGCCAAAAACGGAGAACATGTGATTGAGAAGCTTTACAGTCTCTTTGGGATGTAATTGAAAGCGCTATGTTTATTGCAATGACGATCATCCGTGGTCGATTTCAAACAGTGTTAAATAGGTGTGTTCAGATCGCTTGGGCAAAACGTCTCAGTCTTATAACACATTTTTATAAACACATTTTATATGATACCATCCACGGTGTCTGATATATCATTTTGTGTTGCTTTGTAGCCAAGCTTCTTTATCTAATATATGATCATCTCTTTCGTATAAGAAACAAACATTTATTGATCAAAGTTGAACAGTTTCGTCTTCATTGGGATAGATTGTTGCTCAAGTTACCCAATCGTTAAGGGTACATATAGCAGTTATGCATTCGGGAAGACATTCTACAAGGTTCATTCAATATTTCATTTAAGAGCAATGGCCTAAAATCTGGCTAAATATGTAGCCATTTGCTTATCTGCTAGATTACTATGTTATCGTCCGCAAGCCATATTCATTGAATATCGCCCTACAAGCAACGTTTATAGGATCACTTATGGAATTTAAAATGAATTTACCTCACAGATTCGGTGTAACTTAAAAATAGCCCCAATTGAGGTCTACGTGCTTTCGGTCCTTTATCACCCTTGAAAGCTAGCTTTGAGACAGGCCCGCATTAAACTAATGAGCGAAACTTACATATCCGTGTTTCGGAACTCAAAACGTTACATTCACAGAGTACACCTAACGAATGACTTGTGAATGTCAAATTAACGGTAACAAAATCCACATTTTTCATATTAGGAACTGGGGCTGTCTGGGTGCTGAATTGATTCGACAAGCCAACAGAATCATAGGACGTCTAATGTTTGATTCAACGACTACGCTTCACTAACGATATCTCACAGTCACATCAGTTGCCTATGAGTGGGGTTTTATTTAAGAAAATGTTCATATTTTTTCATTTTCGAAAAAAAGTAAATTGAAAAAAAAAAATGCCCTGCTATTCCTTTAACATTACAATTATACCATCCTTTGCTATTCCTTAACCTTAATATATCCATGGCCCACTTTGCAATGAATATCGATGTATTTCGGGTTTTTTATGCAATGGTACTAATTTCGATATTTTATCGGTTTTATTCTTTTTAGACACAACACAGTGCATTTGCACATATTGTAATATACGCTGTTGTAGAAGGGTAGTTACTGTTTGTTTACGAGTACATTTATCTTTCGTTAATGGTGCAAGTTACAGTTGTCAGTTTCATTGAAATCAACAACGAAATTTATGTCTCTCTCGCGTCAATTTCCATCTGCCTATTTCAGTTTTATTGCCACGTGTACCTTTAGAAGGAAAGAATATTCGTCCCGAACATCCTAATTGTACGCATCTAGAACTGATATTTTCAGTTGCGAGCATTGTCTCTTTGTTAAACAAATATACCTTTCCAGTATTTAGGTTTTCGGGTGATTTGTGCAATTAATACACAAACCATTAAGAAATATGGTATGTTTATTCTACGCCATTCCATTAATCATTCTTAATAGCCAATGAATGCATAATGTCACGGATCTTGTAAGACGAAAAGTAAAATATAATATAACCCACATCGAATATTTATCGCTTCCGTTCTAACATTGCAATACATAACGATATACATAAATATACAATTTGAATTTCATCATTCAAGGGCATTAAACGAAATTCGTTTCTGAGCATATTAGCCAAGGCGAACGCCACACGCTTCCGCTCTCTTATTAATGCATAGTGCTACTGCAGGGTATAACATTTTCATGCAATAAATAATTTTGACATTACCACGGCTCCTTCATTTCGTAGTGAGAGGAAGATGTCACCCCATGGGCCAATAAGCCAACTTTCTCTCTGGGTAGAAGTAGCTGGTACGGCTACATCAACATAACCACTGACAGTCCGAGGCCAAAGGCGGGAGGACTCATGCTAAGATTGTGTCAAATATTTAAATGTATTCCTACAAGTGTTTAACGAATGTTCGTTCGTATCTTTGCCCAGCCGAAACGGGATCAATCTCTTCTCATATGAAATATCTAAACTTTCACAAAGAAATTTTCTTTCTGCTTTTTGTTGAAACACGATATCCATATTCCATTTATAACATGTTACGACCTGGTTAGTTGCCAGATCCTAATTGATCATTCGGTTTGAGGTAAAACATGCCAGGTTGCCATCAAAGGTTTGTGTACGAACTAAATATGTGGCAAATGTTCTATAGCGGTGTTGCATAAACGCCGCGACACATTGTAAATTTATCTTGCATAAACTATTTAATTATATATCGTAGCTAAGTGGACTGAGTCGTTTTGAAGCGTATACAATATCGTATACTACCCATGTGTAACACTCTACAAAAGTATCACCTGTCCCGACATACCACGATGGTGACTATGTAAAATATTACAGTCATTAGAATAAAATACACAACAGTTATAATTATTCACATTTTATGAGTTAACTAGTGATTTAATTACATCCAAGACATGGCTTCACGCGTAAACCTTCATTAGACCTATTACTATTAATTATTCATTGACTACATTCATGCGGAAAATCTTAGACAACACAGTCAAAGGAAAAACAATGCCTACTGAACAGGTCATATTGTTTTTCATCTTTTTAATTTGAATGTTTTCACAATACGCCAAGAAAATGAAACATATCTCTAAACCTGTTTGTACACATGCTTACATTTTTATACAGTGTTAATGAGAGAAATATATTTGATGGTGTCACACACAATAACATCGAGTAATTACCACATATAAATATTGTGATATGATTGTTTATAACCTTCTATTCATTTACTGAAAAATAATCATTTTAAACGAAAATAATAAAAAATTCTGCACAAAATCTTAGAGGTATGTTTATTTACCAAAATATTTACTTGTCGATGGTAGATCCCTCAAAAACCTAAAAAATGTTATATGACATGAAGCAACAATAACTATTATTTTCAACAACTGATTAAGAACATGAAATAAATATCATTGCGACCAGTTTTAACGTTGAGAAGGTGTTTATGTGACTTACACAACTTTCTACCTTCCTTTCATTTGTTTGTGTTATGAAGTATACAAAGCAATGCTATTGTCATTATTATATCATATCTATATCCAATGGGTAGAAATGTCTATCTAAGTTCAAAAGTGTATATTGCATGTGGTGTATATTTCATCATCAATAATTCAAGATCCCCAACATGCAGGATCTTTGACTGATGCATGTACGGTTGAATCTAACACCATCGCGGAGGCTTCGCAATAAATCATGTTTCTATTTATATCACTACATCTGACAAAGGGACTTTCGTTTGAATTTGCAACATTTTCGTTTGTTATATTTCTGAAATTGTTGAAATCAGGTGTTGTGCATTTGCATGCAAATTTAGAATTAAAACGTCATATATATTGAGCCTGTCGATGTATGCCTGTAAAAACATGATATTCATTTTCAGAATGCCAATATTTCGTTGTTATCGAAATATGGCGTTACTTGGTTTACACCAAAGTCTAGCCTTTATTACATCAATAATATGCACGTATATCACAAACAACAAAATATGATATCACTTACATTTTTTATTTCATAAATTTCCGTAATGTCAGTTTTGGTAAATTTGTAGTACCTGAAAACATAATATGGTGAATTTTTAGTAGGAATATTACTAACATTGGTATGTGGATTTCATACGAATTTTCCAGCATATAATGAAAGACGTGTACTCTTTAAAAAAGCAACATGTTCGATGATTTTACAAGAAAATACTCTTATCAACTTCTTTAATTTTTTATAAAATCATATAAACAATGTTTGACAAGTTCATTTTAATAGAACCCCTATATTTAACACTACATAGTACACATTATTCTATGCAAAATTATTAAAATGAGCCGGCGTTCTCATTCATGTGGAAATATTCATGTTCATTCGACACTATCCAAATGTACGAAAAATCATTTCGTCCGTGAAATGTACATGTTGTAGATGACAACTTCTCCGAAATTGACACCCATGTACACAATGGCAGAAGCATAACTGTTGAACTACGACATGACACGTCTTTGACGGGTCAACGAAAGGGTTGTATTAGGGCTGCTAATGATAGAATGATAGGGGTCTGGGATTATCGCCTATCAAAGTCTGTTCAGAAGATAATAGAGATGCATTTGGCTCGACAAACCGTAAGCTCTCATTCTATCTTCCCTGGATCCTTGGAACCCGATCCCCCATAAAACAGTTCGCTTACCGAAGTGGGGATATTTTATTACAGTCCTCAATGACTGGCCATTGAAAGGTATTGCACGCTGTCGGCTACCGATTGTCTCCCAATGGTCATAAACTCGAAATCGTTGCTAAATAAAATCGTTACGACTGATGCATTCTTATGAGTGTAGTATTATCAAGTCGTAAATCCTTTATTGCGAGATCGGGACAAGTGTGTCTTAGAGAATTAATTCAATCTCGAATGCCCACTTTCATTAAACGTGCCGACACGTTTTCGTAAGATTTGCTTCGTTTTGCTTCTTTTCCAAATCGCGAGTGAAATAGGAAGAAACGGGTACTAACTCACTTTGACTAGAATTCCGTCAGAGTCCGCTGTTAAATAGCACGAGCAATGCGTTGAATTCATTCTCCACCTCGTGTCATTCATCAGACCCACAACAAAAAGGTAAGCCCTTCAGACGCACAGGTGCGTTTCTCGTGAGACGATGCAGGTCACGTGGCTACGCCGCGCCGTCTGATTGGCTGGTGAGCTTCGCGTCACACAGCCGTCGGCTGCTATCCTTTGGTGGGGGTGGTTTGCAGATTGGACATGTTGAAGGGACTCCGAAGCACAAATCATTTGTCGAGATAAACTGCCTCAACGGCATGAGTTCGTATTATAGTAATATTCTGCCAGGTCCTTCTGGTGGTACAGCGGTCCACATGGACCAGCCACTCTACCACAGTGATACAAAGTTGGAAAATATGTATCTCCCGAATTCGCCACAAATGTCTTATGACAGTTCGCCGCTATACGGCACAGGGACTTACATGCGGTATGGAGGTTATGAGAGAGTTGAACCACGAACAGCTGATATCAAACCCCAGCAACAGCAACAACAACAGCAACTAGCGAGTTGTTCACCGCCAGCCTCGGCTCAATATCCAGTATATCACAATGCAACGGAAAATATATATGGGACATCGTTCGAAAACCGAATGGCAGACTGTAAAAATAGTGATGGGTGCCCTCCGAATCAAATGCCACCTTTCTATTATCATCCGCAGCAACAACTTGGCGGAATGCAAGAGGTGACGAACAGTCCAAATAGCTATGGTCCTTTAAACGGAATGTCGTCACAAAATATGCCTGTGTACCCTTGGATGAGACCAGCGAATGGAGGTATGTATAATTACTGTTATTTCATATCATGAAATATGACATGTCATAATGTGTATGCAATATGTTGCAGTTTCAGCAGTCATTGCCAATATTGTACCTCTCAATGTCTGTGTATTACACTCCGCGGTCTATTCTAGAAACGGCAAAAATACCCCTACGTGTTATGAATGAATCCTAGAAGTAGGTTAGGCATCAACAGTTTAATTTGAACGTCAGAGTACGACTACCGCGTTTGCGCTACTCAGGGATAAAACACAGCCTCTTTGCATAATCAACCTGTATATTTCACAATGTACATGGCAGTTTGTGCATGAGATATGTATTCTGAATTATGCATTGACGGGATATTACAACACGTGCAAAATGCTTTCTATATGATAAACATACGGTAATACTCTGCCATACTTTGTTCATCTGCTTTCAAATTGTGGAAGAGGTTTGCACGAAACAAAGCCGAATGAGAGACAATGTCAATTTCGTGTTCCCTGAAATGTAATGGTGTTGATTTCAATGGCTTCGCTATTGATTAGTGCGAATATCACTATTCAGAATAGCGCGAGGCGTCTGAAATTGCTTCCCCGTAATGTGAAAACGATAAAAAGGAATGAATGAAAAAAGGGAGAAAATAATTAAATGCAGGACTTGTAGAAAATGCTTGAAATAGAGAGGACTGATATTTTATAGGGATTTATATCAATCGAAAATGGTTGTTATTTCATCAAAATTACATCAATCAAACTTTTAAATTATCAATAGTTTTAGACGTTGATTAAACTTAAAAGAATCATTACTGCTCCCTCGCTGGTTCATCCTACTTCATACAAAACATAGAAATACAGTTATTTTATCATACAGGAGTACATACAGATGTACACAAACGCTGATATCTGTATAAATTTCTATGCAAATTAGTCTACCTTCCATATGTTTACCAACATGGCCTCCTTGTCAACATGACTCATATCAGTCCCAGTACAGACCTGTTGATTTTTTATATATCAAGCACATGTCAACAAGATATATCTTGTTTGATACTGCAGTCATGTCAAACAATCAACATACTTTGAATATGGCAACCACTTGTGTACATTCATCACTTATTTTACCACTTGATCTCAACGAAGCTGTAGCTGTTAGGAAAGGTATATTTATTTCACTTGCAGTCTAGTTATTACACTTCTGTATGTATCAGTAACGGTATCCTACCATATTCTCGTAAAATGTTCAGTATTGTTTAAATAAAATATAGAAGTCATCTGTTTTCTTTTACAACAGAGTAGAAAGTGAAGTAGTTTCATGTCTTCTCTAGCCATGCGTCCAAATTTCATATGTTTAGCAAGTTATATGATATGAACATAAAAGTAATGATATGAACATATATATCATCAGAAATATTCAAATATAAACACAGGTATACACATCAAAACTATATCTGGCCAAAATATTACAAACATTATAACAAAGGTTGCTTGGTTGTAAATAGTTACCGACATACTGCAAACATAAGGTTCAAAATCAGCCATACCCATCAAATACACCACAATAATTGCCATTTGTTTCTGTCTTTCTTAACAACCTTGGACTTCTAATTTCATTTGCTCGGTAGGTTTTATCAAGAGTTTATTATAATGTAACTGGCATCAGATATATCCAAGGTAGGTCTGTGTAGATCTATAGAATGTAGACATCTTTAACAGAGCGGTGTCAATTTGGGGGAAATGTACATTTAGGCATATGTATATCAACAAGACATTGACCTTTTGTCACGATTTACTGGGTCATATGAAATGTACGTAAACAGACAACGCTAAATAGCCTCAAGCTTCATGGCATTGTGCGATCACTGTTGAATAGGATGTTCCCTTACTAAAGGGAAAGCTTGAATTGTGTTGACACAAAAAACACAAGGTAATAACAACATGTAGTTGATATATTATGGTTATGAAACGGAGTGGTGCTCAGTATGAATAGCCATGTAATGAGTTTGATATGATATATTTTTCATAAAGATTCTTATGATGAAATCAATTTCATTGTGAATAAATTCATTCACGCATCGTATTTCCAATCTGACACGCGTAATCTGATATATTGCCGTTATTAATATGATCGAAACATGCTTTTTATTTGATGTGAAACAATTGTGTAGGAAATAACAATATTATAACAATAAAACAGAACGCGTTCAACGGGCTCTGCCGTCGTGAGAAGCAAGGCGAAAGCAAGGCGCTAATGATTAATGAGTATTTTTCAAAGACACGAAATAAGCTCGGCCATTATGATAGTACGGCGCTCTCTGATGTATATCACAAACACCTTGAAGTGTGTGAGAGGAACTCACTACAATACGAAACCGAACAAATAGGACCCCACAAACAGTTGAAATAAATCACCTCGCCTCTTCGCGTTTTGGCTATCGCGAGTCTGTGGGCATTCAGCGACTCCTGTGGTCTACAAGGCGACTACCTGTTATGCTATTGTACATTTCAATCCGAAATGTACATACTCTTGCAAGAACACATTTCTGATACACATTTCAGACAGTTATGTACATATTCCAAAGCAGGTCAACCCTGGTCACATTATATATTACGACGCGGTCCGTACCGTTAGGAGCGGTTGTGATGGGTATGATTGACTGCAATGTACATGCGAAATGATGATTTTTAAGCTGGTAACTGGTTGAAATGTACAACCTTATGTAAATGTCACAATGCAGTGAACAGCATGAGAAAACATGTCGCACGAGGAAGGCCTAACGGAGGTGATAATTCATATGGACACTAAGCTGTTTATCTAAACAATCTGACTAGATATACATTGTTTAGGTCAGTGTTTATTTCTAGTTAAACATCAAATACATGCTTAACTAAATAATCACCTTGTATATACAATCCATGAAATTTATTGTGCGTTATATGACGTGGCCATTCAGCGTGGGTTCAATGGCTAGTAAAGTGTTCGCACGTCGTAAAACGATAAAAGTGTCCAATAAAACTACTTTTATTTGTACTTATTCTTCTTTTAGTAACCTGTGCTTTACTCTTCTGCTTCTGAGGTGTGTACAGGGTTAATCCTTGTTTAAAATAGCATTTAGTGATTATGATTAATTCATTTAGCAACTGTAATAAAAGGAGAATGACTTTCCTAACATTATTACCATCTCCCTCGGCTGCAATAACGCGTTAATAAAACGCAATTCGTAATATAATAAAACGCATTCGGTCGATGTAGTAGCATGACTTCAAAAGCAGATGACATAAAACATGAGAGAAATTATTCGTATGATATGTATTGATAAGTTTATATTTTTCCTGATTGCCTATATATATGTCCCAATCACTTTGTTGTAACGTCGTGTCAACAATTATTCGTCGCTGAACGTTTCCAAACTTAAATTTTAAATGAAACGTTCTTTGTGTAGAAATGTTCACTAAACGGCAATAAAACGAAATGGCGTTTTAAAGTGCGTATTCAATTCGTTCCTCGTCTCCTTGTGCGGATAATATAGACAAATTCAGTTTATAGAAACCATTTTGTTAATTTCACAATACTCTCCGATCGATAAAGACGGACTGGAATAAATGTCTTGAAACATGCTATTAGGGGGAAAAATGTTTATTTTGCAGAATTTGTAGGCAAAACGAACACAAACTGGGTGTCATTACTTTAAGGAAACAGCCCTGCATGTTTCAACCAGCCTGGAAATTCATCCTGAGGTGCAAATGTCACAGGAATTGTAATTTCTTTGTGAAGCAATTCTTTTCACTATCAAACGATGAATACAGTGACCCAAAAACACTCTGATTCAGGCCTAAATAGAGCGAAATCCGTCTCAATTCCCTTCAATGTACAATCGATGGTTTGAACGAAGGCGAATGGGGAAGTGCTGATTTATGGTAAAGTGCTCAGAAGATAAAATATTGCAGTGATGGTTAAGCCTGGCACTGGGATATTGATCGCAAAATGACGAATGAACAAATAAAAATGTAATTAGATTATGAAATTTGATTGGGCGTTTATTTATTCTTTCTATCTGTGGTTTTTGTTTCAATTATCCGTCGTGTAATTTATTTGAAACCAATTCATCTAGTTCCAGAGAAAAAACGATATTCTGTACATTTTTTGTGAAGTATATTGGATTGAAAATCAACACATCAAACATAATTTGAATAATCTTGTTAATATTTTGACAAAAAAATTGTTTTTATTTCTTTTCGAATCCCATTATGAATGCAAGACAGCAAGGAATAGTTTCATTTCTTATGTTACATAGTTTTCGTTAATTTGAAAGAAAGATTGAAATTATAATTCCATAAAATGTTTCATACAAAAATACAAACGTGGCGCAGTTATGCTAACCACTTAGATGCGTCTTGTTATATTCTCCGTTTCAAAAACAAGCAATAAATTGGTCGCAGTTTAGCATAGCCCTAATGCTCCATTCAAGGTTGGTTATCGTGAGTGTCCTTTTTGTCCGTTGTCAGTTCAAACACATTGAGATATTCACCTGTAATTGGGGGTTGTCGATTTCAATAATACATGTCAGTGAGACATGACTTTATTATCAAGGTCTATTTCACATCATTTCACGTCAACATCTAGTTCAAAAGATGCTGTTCACTTGATACCTATTTAACGATGAAAGTAATTTCGCGTAATGCTCAGTTAATTTTGGAAAATAGATGGCTTTTTGTAATCTGCTATTGGATATACACGTTTATTCATTTGACAAGGATCAAAGAGGGTTAGTCTTTTACACCATGATTTATCTGATTTCTCACGATTCCCCATCTTTAGCATCCATTTCTCTTTGAAAGAAACCGAAGCTTAAACTACCATCGACCGCCGAAATTAACACTCCCATAAGACACATATGGGTTATGGAATAGCCTGTCAAACTGCCCAGGAGGGATGTTTGTTTTCTCCCTCCTTGAAATTGACCACTCCGCTACCGATGTCGGTTTCACTTCATCATCCCTGCATATGGGAACTCCTGT